TTAATACTGAAAATATTGTGTGGAAGACATCAATTACTTTCAGTACATGTATAGCTTTTCTCTTTTCCTAATTATTATTATTATTAAGTTTAAAGTGGTTGAATTTTACGTAAGGGGTATTTATACATTATTTCTAATTTACCATTTATTTTAAGTTTTTTAAACTCTATTCATCGAGACCTATCTAATGAGTCCAAACACGATATTTCTGCTGTAAGTTTTCGAAGAGTATGTTCATCATCTGATAATACTGGTGCCAGCATGAAGTCAAGGTTAACATATAACTAATTACTTTTATTTCGTCAAAATCTTTAGATTACGTATAATAAATTCATAATATCGCTACCTATTCAAATCAAAACAAGTATTAGGTACTTCATGTACTAGTATATAAATTCATCAACACACAAGTAAATGATTTTTAAATATATTCAGAGCCAAAAAATCTTTGTGCATTTAAAAAAAATTGCCGATACGGATTCACTATTGCAGGAAATTGTTGAAAAAATATATATCGCGTATAGGTATCTACTACTATCGACGAATACATTTGGCAACAACGCGCAACATATGCGATGTTGCCGTTCCGGCCGAGACCATGCCGGAACGGCAACATCGCATATTAGAATACAAAGATAGTGATAGAAAGAGAGAGACAGTGGAATCAGCAATATCTACGGATCGTGGCTGGATCAACTAAGTGTGCAAGTTTATATAAATGTATATTATATATATATACATTTGTCTTTAATTCAAAGGAAATATAAATAATGAACGCATCACATTTAAAACAGTATAAATAGTTAATAATTTAATAATAAGTTAATAGTTTAATAAGTACGTACATAATATTATCACATGGTAACAGCACGTATTATGGCAAAAATAAACATCGGCTGATTTGAAAAGATTTATTATAGTAATAATAGTAATCTCAGGACAATTCACACAGCTTCATCTAGACCCAAGTTAAGCTAGCTGAAGATTATGTTATGGGTACTAGACAACTGATATAAATACAAAGATTTTTTTTCGTAAATACATATATATTATCTATACATAGAAAACACCCAGACCGTTACAAACAATCATACTCATGAATACAAATGTTTGCAGCGTGCGAGGAATCGAACCCTCGACCACCAAGCAGGAATCAAAGCAGTGTGCTAGCTAAATCGCTAGACTACCGACAACTAGCTGTACACGCGACTTCGTCCGCGTGGAATTTCACTTCTTATATTTTAGAAAAATAAAGTTAAATTCCACACGGACGAAATCCCGTGTACAGCTAGTTATCAATAAAAAAACACGTAGGTATCTCTAATATATTATACAGTAGCTGTTCCCGCGACTTCGTCCACGTGGTTTTTAACTTTATTTTTCTAAAATAAAAGTAGCCTAAGTTACTAGGTAGTAGCCTTATTACATCAGCTACCTGCCAAAAAAAGTCCCGTCAAAATCGGTCCAGCCATTTCAGAGATTAGCCGGAACAAACAGACAGACGGACAAAAATTGTAAAATATGTTATTTTGGTGTATGTACCGTATTTATATTCATATGCAAGTAGTAAAAAACGGTTATTTCAATATTACAAACAACAGGCTTCAACATTCTCAAGTACCACAAAAAAGATGTTTTTATTAAAAACAAGCTGTTCCCGCGACTTCGTCCGCGTGGAATTAAACTTTATTTTTCTAAAATAAAAGTAACCTAAGTTACTCCTTATAAATCAGCTACCTGCCAAAAAGAAGTACCGTCAAAATCGGTCCAGCCATTTCAGAGATTAGCCGGAACAAACAGACCGACAGACAGACAGACTAAAATTATAAAAATTGTTATTTTGGTATATGTACCTTATATATATTCATATGCATGTAGTAAAAAACGGTTATTTCAATATTACAAACAGACACTCCAATTTTATTTATATGTATAGATGTATAGATTATTATTTATTTATTTATTTATTCATCCAAAATAATACAAATTGTGTAGGATAACGTAATAGTAACATTACAGTAAAATTTTGTCAACAACATAATAGCAACTTAAATATTAAATCTCGGTATATCTATAGACTAGCTGACCCCAGCGACTTCGTCCGCGTGAAATTTTATTTTATTTTTCTAAAATAACAGTAGCGTAAGTTACTCCTTATTACATCAGCTACTTGCCAAAAAAAAGTCCCGTCAAAATCGGTCCAGCTATTTCAGAGATTAGCCGGAACAAACAGACAGACAGACAGACAAAACTTGTAAAATATGTTATTTTGGTGTATGTACCGGATTTATATTCATATGCAAGTAGTAAAAACGGTTATTTCAATATTACAAACAGACACTCCAATTTTATTTACATGTATAGATGTATAGATTAAAAAAAAAGTAACAGTCATAAGGCTAGTCGTATGCCTAATATATATAATAATGTAATAAATTCATTTAAACAGAAATTGCGGCAACATTATTTAAATTTGTAACTTTTTTACTGTCCTTCTCCATTTTTCACATCTTTCTGTTATATCCCTATAGTTCTCTCTATATTTTCTGTTTTTCTTACTTTCAATTTGAGACTGTACTTATAATTTGATTATCAGATCATTATGTATTTATTAGATATTAACTATTATATTATGCATAAAAAATATTTGTAATAATAAAGAAAATACATTTAAAATGTTTTACTTGTTGTGTTAGTTATTTATAAGATCTTACTATAATTGTTAGCTGCTTTACAATTTAGAAAGTACAATAGGTAATGTAAATTAAAATTAATTGAATACTTAACAACGTTTTGTTCGATTAAATTCATTTAATTATTAAAATAGTTAATTTAAAATTAGAATAAAGACAAAAAAAAAAATAACAAAAAAAAATCGGTGGCGGGAATCGAACCTTGAGCGTCCGTTTGGTAAGTTGATTTAAAATTCAAAGGCTTATTTCTTCGAAATTACTGGTCATTTTGAAATAATACTTAGGGTTCGCATACCCTTATCGGATACTACTACTACACGGAGTTTCGTCAAAATAAAATATCTAGGTTAGGTATAATAAATTCATAATTAATAGACCGTTACGGTATCTGTATATATTCGGATCAAAACAAGTACTATGAAATAAGAACGAGTATATAAATTGATTAACACAAGTAATTGATTTTTGAAATATATTCAGAGCCAAAAAGTCTTGTTTCTTTATTTATGTACTTGTTAGATGCGACAGCGACTTTGTTTTATACTATACTATGTAATGATTGATATACCTAAAATAAATAAAATATCTGAGGTTTGGACAAAAACTCAAAGGGTAATTTATTTTGAAAAAGTATTTTGAAAATACCTATTTTGCTTTTACTGTTATAGTACTTTAACTGTTATGTTTTAAGTAACAATGTTTAATTATAATTAATACTACTGCACCAACACTCCGATCGTGCAAAAAAATTTGCTGTTTCATTATTTTTTAGTTCAATTAGTGGTCTACCTAAGTCCTGGGCTAAGGGGGGAGAGTCATGACGCCCCCATGACTCCCATGACCTCCATGACGCTCCCCGCTGGATCCGCCGTTGCGTCTTCTCTTTATTCGCTCAGTAACTTTGTTACAAAAGAAAAGATTCCCGTCCAAAAAATAATAAGTATTGAGGTTTGATCTGGAGTCACGTTACTCCAGACTGATTTCTATAAATATTTAGATTAGATAGACTATTATTCTTGAAATACTAGCTAGACATTATTAAGTTACTGTAGCCATAATGTAGTAGCCCAAACGTGCCAATGAGGAAGCCCTTGGCAAATGCTGCACCCTGATTGGCCCGTTTGAATTGGATCAAGAACTGCTCGTATGCCAAAAAGGTGGATTTGTATAAAATCGTGTATAAATCGCTTAATTATTATTATTACTCGTCGTGACAGTTGTGGCTCAAAACGGATCAACATTTATATATGGTCAGCTGGCATTAGATCAACAAAAGGCCTCCGGATCAACAAGTGAAAATGGATCAACAAAAAACTACCTATACGGCACGTCTGAGCCACAAAGTGCCCAAGGGGATATTTATATATATATATATATATATATATATATATATATATATATATATATATATATATTATGGAAATATAAAAAAATATGCGTTCGTCTACACTAATAAAATAAAATTTACGTGTCATATGTCGAGTTTGTTGGCTCTATAGTAAAATATTCATGTAAACTTTACTGTTTTTTATAAATAATTAGGTAATTTTCGTGTAACAAATGGCCATGGATATACGAGTATAGTACTGTTACTGACAAACAAATAATTAACATTATGCGAATGACCATCGCATAATTTTCGTGACAACACACTCGAAGGTCGTGATTAGAATAATATGATGTTCATGCGAAGTTCTAGAAGAAGATATTAAACTTCTTGGAATGTTTTCCTTTTTATCTGTAAATTGAATTATCGATAATAAGTGAATAAAATAAATATAAATTTTCCTTAATACATGTTCACGGAACAACATTATACCTAAACTACTTTCAGTCAAGCGGAAACAGTTACATGTCGACCTTTATATGTTTCAAATGGAGTAGTAAATTTGTTACAGAAATTACTTGCAGTTAATTGCAGTCTAGAGTCCCTCCCTTGCAGTCTGGTTTACACTGATTATTTATTAAGGAATTTTTTTTCATTATATTCACAGACAGTATCTCGTGCCTGCGAGAACTCACTTCCTTCCTTATAAATTTGATAGTAATTTTATGTATATGGTGTTACTTACTTGCAAGTATCTATCCTAAGGGTTATCTGCTTGTAAAAATTTTATAAAATTATTTGCTTTAGTCTAAATTAAAGATGTTTGCTTATTAAATAAATAAAAAAATTAGTCTAACAGTTAGGCGTTAGTCTGCGTCATGTTAGAGAACATTGCCTTAAATTAATATTATCATGTCAGAAGTTTAGTGCTATCTATATTTCTTTCTTAAAGGTAAATTCAAATTTTCTGAATGTCCTAGGATGGAAACCTGTTCATCGAGTTGTCTAACAACATTCCCCCGTACACGCTACGAGAACCCGACAAGTACTGCATTGACACATTCGTCTCCGAAGATGCTAATGGTGTGAAAGAAGCCAATGTTGATGCGTTGGTCTGTTTCGCTGATGAATCTGGAGGCCATCATTATGCTGTGAGCAGTACTTGTAAGTCAATTTTTATAACTATACTGCTTTATTACCTCCAATACCTCCTGCTTTATTTATCTCTAAAATAAACCAATGTCATAGGAAATTCCTATGACATTGGTTCCTATGACATTTTCCGGGGATCAATTCCCACTTCATTTAGTTGTAAACATATAATATGATATCATTACCGAGGAACCATCCACTGCTTCAGTGTGCGGTTTAGCACACCGCCTATGGTCGCGAGTTCGATTCCTCGCATGGTACAAACATTTGTATTCATTAGTATGATTGTTTGTATTTGTCTAAGTGTTTTCTATGTATACCTAATATGTATGTATTTACAAAAAAAAATATTTACTTTATTTCTATCAGTTGTCGTGTACCCATAAAACAAGTTTTGTCTGGCTTGGGACCAGATGTTGCTGTGTAAATAGTATTGGGTTATTATTATTTTTGTATAAAGTAACACATACGTACGAGAATATCAGCCACTAAGCTATATCCTTGCTTTTATACTGTATTCTCGTTGAAGGGTGAGATATGTCAGTTTTTATTTATCGTAAAAATTATTCGTGTAAACACCCGTTTAACTATATTGAAATGAAATAATTTAATAAATTATTTAATATATAATAATTTAATAATATTTGGGAAATATTGGTACAGTAGTTATAATGTTAAATGAAATATTATTGATCAGCAATATTTACCATATAGACATGCAAATTATGTGAAAGTATTCGTTTTACTCAAATATTCTTGAACACTGTGAAAATTACTAAGTAACAGCCAATTTTTAATTTTCCGTTTGTTTACTAATAGTGTGTACTAATCGGGAAAGTTTTTTTAAAAGTAATTTTATCTCCTTTACTCAGGTATGCTAATCTCCTGCGTGTTCATATTGGCCACGTGTGGGGTCTACGCCTGGTTGCCGGAGCTACGTAACTTACACGGCAGGGTCCTGATGGCGTACCTTCTCTGCATGTTTGTGGCGTTTTCATTTATGGCCACCATGCAGATTCTACTGCCGTTAAACGTGATCACCATATCGTACTGCCTTGCAATGAGTAAGTACTTTTATTTCACATACATATTGGTATTACTGTTATCCCAGGGGTAGTTAGAGACATTGTCAACTTCCGATGTTGTGGTAAAAGCAACACCTGGCAGGACCACTATTCACAGGGTATGTTAGAATCCAACGTAGCAGTAATCTTTCGGATTGATTTTTGGTGTTTTCTTAACCGGAGTATTAGCCAGAAATATAAATTGATACCAAGTTTATTTTTATGTATCGGACAGATTTGAACTCACGAACTCTTAATGTAGGGTAGTAAAGATCCACGCCACTACGCTCTCAATATTTAATTTTTTTTTCGTAACAATATAACTCTAATATATACTAACGTATTCGAACTTACAATTTGTGTTATAATTCTTTATTAAATTTAAATTAGTGAGATTAGGTAGCGATAAATAATGACATCTTTGTCCTCTGAAACCGCAATGAATGAGTGCTATCACGGGCGATACGTGATAACGTGATGTTCTTGGTGCATGATGAATTCATGGTGGGGTTATCACACACAAACAGATGGGCCATCGAAATGTTTGCGCTTCCAATTACATAAAAAAAAACATTATCTATACCAACAATTAACCACATATGCACAATGGTTACATAGTTTTGAAATGCCATTTCATTAAAGTTATTTTACTTTTAGCGGTAATGTTTAGTTCATGTAATTATATAATCAAGTTAAGTAACCCTAACTGCACAGTATGATTCGCGAATTTTTTATTTAATTTTTTCGTGGGCGTCATATTAATTGCCTCGTGTGGTTATAAAATTAATTGCCACAATTTATTTTTTAAATTTGTAGCAGTCACAGAAGATCAGTTTGTATGATTGCCTTGTTTTATTTGCGTCAGATCTTATATGAAGACAGTATATATTAAATTATGATAATCTTTACTAGATTACAAAAATTGTGTTTGGTAAAAAAACAATAACTATCAGTTGATAGTTATTGTTTGTTCTAATATAATATCGATTGTTGATTTAACAATCAACAATCGATATTATATTGGAAAAGGCGACAGTATTCCCACAGTTATAAGTGAAAATTTAATTATCACATTGGAATGTGTTAATTATACATTATCTCAATTATATAAATAATAATAAAATATTAATATTACTCCTTTCTTGAAGGGTTAAATATCGTTCCTTCTAGAAAAGAGGTATTTTCTTCTTAAAGGCCGGTAACGCACTTGCATTTTTTCTGGTTGTGGGTGCTCATAGGTGGTAGTAATCACTTACCGTCGGATGAGCTGCAAGCTCCTTTGTCCCCTATGCTATAAAAAATCATACTCCCATATTTCGGTTCCGGATACCAAGAGGATATAAATAAATTTTGTGTTTATGGTACACATATTTTGTGTGGTGATTAATACTTGATTGACGTCCGAAATCCGGTGTGATGGATCACACTTAGTATCGTAATTACGTTACATGTGACCTGATTAAATGATGAATTAAAATTCCTTGAATAGCGTAACTAAATGAGAGTTTCTTATCTATGTTAATACATATTGTTATAAATAATGTCGTAACTATACTAATATTTATAACTAGTTTATTTATAATACTCTAATCTCCGAAATGAAATATAGAAGTTCATACATTGTAGAAATACTATGAATATGCTATTGGTCGAATTGGATATTTACAGCATTTGAATAATATATTTGCCTTTGATAGCCCGAGTCTCGAGGAAGGTCATAGACTATATTACACTATCACCATTAGAAGACTATAAAAAATAAAATAAGAAGGTAAACGGTAATTGCTAATATCGAATGATTTTGAGAAGAGCCGAATTTATATTCTTATTTTCTTTCAATTATATGACAAGTGAAACCACGGGATACAGGTACTCTAATATATTATAACACTAGGTGGAATACCTTTTGTAATAAAGGATATATTTCTACTGAAATTATGATTACTTATTTCCTTTTCATTGAGAGCATTGCTGACTAGTAGTTAACCAGAATTTTAGACTCGATTGTGAATTGGAATCGTGTATAAATAACTCAATGTATGTCAATTTATATTTTTGTTTGATTCTCGAGCAATTAAAACACTGATAACTAACAAAATTATTACGAGTAACATATCCAATGTTCGCTTTGCCCTAGACATGTTTAATTCATACAGATAGGACAAGTGTTGCTGAACTGAGGTTAGCTGATTTGATCCCATCCTTTCATCCTTCACTGGTAGCCTCCTAACGAATATAATTATCGTAGGCGTGATCATCATTCCATTATCATATTATAATTAATAACAACTTTAACGTAAGAACAGGTTTTACATTTTATAATGTATGTCAAACTCAAGTTGCATATCTATTTATAGTGACCGCAATGATACTGATGAACGGTATTCCCCAACATGGTGGCATGTTGCGTAGTTTTTATTAATCGTCCTCTCACCAATTCGTTTCGAAATCCTAATCTTTTTAGGTGTATAATTAACTTAACCATGGTATATGTTGGAGTGGGACGCTGTTTCTTATGTTCTTGTTTATTTTAATAATAGCTAGAACCGCGCAACGTAGTTTTCGTCTAATCATCCTTGTTTTTTTGTCGCATTTTGATGGTCCTCTTCTATTGGTAGCGTGATGTTACATTTTTCATTACATTATTACAATAATTATGAATGATTACATGATTATATTAGCGTATAATCTTCCTTGTTTAATAGCCTATCCAACACTAGAACTGCATTGTCATAATAAAGCCTACATGTAATTTAATTCTAGTTTTTTTATATAATAGAGTTTTATTAGGTTCATAGCACTTAGTAACATAATAATATTATTCTGATTAGAGTATTTTTACTGAATTATTTCAGATAAAGGTACCTTTTTTAAATATAACGTATTAGTATGCCTAAATGCCTATATGTATATAACAAACATATTAAAAAAATAACAATTTGTTTCATAATCACGGAAAAATGATAACGAAATTGTTCTACAAACATTTTTCAAATATAGATAGTAACCAAACGTTGGGGAATTTTACTTAATACTATGGGCACAGTATCGATGACTTGTTGCACAAACGCCACGGTTTATTTACAATATCTGTATAGATAAATATTTAGTAATACATTAGGTTTGCACTTTCCTTCCTTGTTGCCTGATTCATGTTGTAGAATTATACCTACATTCGTAAATAGCAATTGATATTGATAACAAATAACAGGTGTAATACAGTTGGTAGTGAGGAAGGGAGAGGGAGGGAGCTCGAGGAAGTTGAAAGAGATTATTAGTAATAGAGTTTCCATAGGTATAAATACTTTAGCTGTCGTCTAAACCTACAGGTACAGGTAAAGTGAAAATAATGCCTCTGACCGCCCAGGCTAGAATAATAGTCGTGAAGTTATCTCAATATAATGTAATGTTTTCCATTCATTAAAAAAAATTAAAACTTATCTCTTTATTCATCTACATATTATCTCAGAGCATACTAAATATATTCCATATAATAAAAACTAGCTGACCCACGCAACTACATCTACGTCACCTCCAAAACCAATATTATACCCATTTTTACATTTTTCATAGATTCACCGTTTCTATTATTTGTAGGGTATTAGATAATTATTTTATTTTTAACCCTTTCATTCGATAAACTATTATAATCTTGTGCTTTTTATAATCTTAAGTAGAAAAAAATAACCTTGTAATTTGTATACAATAGAATAAATTGTATTTTTACCGTATATTACGTGTCAAAGTGTAATTTGTTCACGTAGGTGTTATAGCTTCCTGTTGTCAAACAATAGGTGGCCGAGTGGCGAGAATTCATTATTTGATTTTTTTTATTTAAATTTAACTAAGTATGTCACGCATGTGTTTATTTATAACAAAATATATATTGCTAACTGTTATACCAATTGAGGCAGTCAGAGACATTGTAAAAAGTCCATGTCACGGTAAACATTACAGATAGATAAATATAATACACATACATTTGTAACATACTGTAAAGAAGAGACCTTTGTCTCATAAATTAAAGAACACATGTATAGTTGCAATAAGGTGGCCTTGTTACTGAAAGCAATGATAATACTTGACATGTCCACATATCGCTTGGTATATTTAGTCCGATGTAAGATTGAGCGAGCCTGATATTGTCTCTCAGATTAATAGATAATTTTAATTTAAAAATGTAAGCTTGAAATTGGTTCAAAGACTGTCTGAAAAGAGGATAATAATATTTTTGAGGTATGACAAGTATTAAAACAATATGTAATATATAAAAAATCTCTCTTTCTCTCTTTCTTTTCGGCCTCATCGACCTTCGGTCCCATCAAAAATGGAGTCGTCTCAATGGTTTTTCGGATCCTCATTGTGTGTATTTCACATTATTTGATAGATCATTGTTAATAGTAGTTATCATGTAAATCGACATCTTTCGCGCTTCTTTTGTCTAATACTGGCATTATTCACCTCGGTTTCGTTACGGTCTTAGTTAATATGTCATGTATCAGTCTAACTTTGAAAACTTATTGTTACATAAAATGACGTGAAATTTGCATACACACCACGGCAATTTGTTTAAAAGGGACCTCCACATGAGCATTCTCATATCAGCCATAAATTATTTGTCTAATTGTTGCTTCTTGAGCAGTTACATTCCGCCTCATAAACTGTAGCGTCTCCCATAAATTATAACTGTTCTAAAGGAAAAAGGATGACAATTGTTTATCATAAATTATAACAAAAGCACAACAGTAATACAGTACCACCATTTTATGAATTCGATAGTAAGCAATAGAGCTAATCTACAAATTTATACAGTAATAAATACCAATTGAATCGTGAACAATCCGTAGGGGGCTAACGTAACAAATTCGGCACATTTGCTTCATCGATATTAATGTTCACGAAACTTGATAGATTATTCGTGACCAGTACAGTTTAACATCAATAACAATAAAATAAATACTCACACATGTCGACAGTAATCCTTACTGATCAATAATGTA